CTGAACAGCCCTGTCTAGGCTCATCCCACTCTGTGCCAGCATCTCGTGGTCTCCCAGCTGAGGGCAGGAGCTCCCTCCTTCTCCTTGGAGTGGAAGCAGCAGGCAGCAAAATGGGAATGTGCATCTGCCTTGGTCAGTCCATGGAGGGCTGGAACTGCTTTGAAGGGACTCTGGGCTCCAAAAGGCTGTTTGCACCATGCAAAGGGGTCCTGGTGAGCATCTGGTGCTCCCTGCAGCGCTGCAGGGGGTCTCCCCAGAGCGGAGCAGAGGGGCAGAATCCCCTCCATCGCCCTGCTGGCCACGCTGCTGGGGATGCTCCTCTCAGCACAGGAGAGACATGGACCTGGTGGAGCAGGGCCAGAGGAGGCCACCGAGATGCTGGGAGGGCTGGAGCCCCTCTGCTGGGAGGACAGGCTGGGAGAGTTGGGGGGGTTCAGCCTGGAGAAGAGAAGGCCAAAAAGGGGAGACCTTCCAGTCCCTAAAGGGACTCCAGGAAAGCTGGGGAGGGACTCTTGATCCAGAAATTGTTGGCTGTGCGGGTGTTGAGCCCCTGGGGCAGGTTGCCCTGAGAAGCTGTGGCTGCCCCATCCCTGGAGGTGTTCAAGGCCAGGTTGGACGGGGCTTGGAGCAACCTGGGCTGGGGGGAGGTGGCCCTGCCCAGGGCAGGGGGTGGCACTGGATGGTCTTTAAGGTCCCTTCCAACCCAAACCCTTCTACAATTTTATGATTCTATAACTTTGCTCTTGCTTCACACGAGAGAGGGACAGGTCTCACTTGGAAAGCCTGGCACATTGACTCTGCAGCACTGGCGCCCATCCTGCCCCTTGCCTGTACCTCTAATTGCAGATTAAGGCCGACAGGACCATCCAGGTGCTGGCCGTAGTGAATGGTCAGGGAGCAGGACACACTCTGCATCACCACTGGGATGTGCCCACGGCACAGGGTGGGAGAGGAGGAACAGAACAATTAAGACATGCACAGACACTGGGGCAAAACCAGATTGCTGAGATCCACAGCCACTGTGCAAGCGTTTGCTGGTTTGGGCCACAGAGGTATATGCACACGAACAGACAGAGTGTGGGCTGCCGGATGCACGTACAGTCGCTTTATTAATGTCATGTCTGCCCGTGCATCAGCTGCAGGAGACCTTTTCTGTTTGGTGGCAACTTCTAAGGTTTTGAACTGCACTTTTGTGCTAACTGGAACAAGACGCTGAGAACAGTCTTAATTCCTGAAATCATGCTGAAATGCCCATTTGCTCACTGAACGGAGCATGACGTGCTGCAGGAAACCTGGACTGGTTTCTGGTTTGTTGGTTGTTGTTGTTGTTTTGGGGTTTTTTTCTTTGTTGCTTTTTTTTCTTTTTTTTCTTTTTTTCTTTTCCTCCACCCCAGGATGTTCTCCGCACTCCTTTGCCTGTGAGACAGGCTGTCTGTGTAGGATAGAGGGGTCGAAAGTGCAAATCCCTGCTTTATCAGGAGAAAGGCAGAAAATTTATTCCTAAATCATGCAAAACAAGGATTTCATCATTCTGAGACACCAACATGTCTGTCCTTGTTGCTTTTTAAGTTATTCCTGGAAAAATACTGCTGAAACTGATGTGCTTACACAGAACTCTCCCATTCCAGTGGAGAAAACATTCTTCCATTAAGCCAATCTGAGTAAAAAAAGCCCTGACCAGTCCTTTTTAAAACCTGCCCTCGTCCCCTTCTCTTGGGATCATACACATTTTCTTTTAGGCATTGTATTCTGATCAAAATGCACAAGAGTAATGGTGAGAGCATTGTCATTGCTGGTTCAGAAAATGCTTTTGATCAATTCCTTAAAAATACATCAGTACTACAATATGGAGGGCCAAATTTCTGCCTGATCTAAGCTGGCTTCATTGAGTCTCTACAAATGTATATCCTTGCACGCGTGGCAGGCTGAGAGGTTCAGGGCCAGCGGGGGGCCTTGCTTGCCCTGCAGCTTGACCCTCTGCACAGAACAGATCAGAAATCCCCCCACCCGGCGATTTCAGCAAGCTCGGAGGTACCAGGCGGGCTGGGACGTGCCCATCGCTCGTTTAGAGGCCAGTGTCCCCAGGTGTCCCACTGGAGCTCCATATGCCAGGAGCACCCCAGCATCACTTTGTGTGTGACGGTCCAGGACCATCCCTGCCGGGCAGGCAGGGAAGGGCAGCAGTGAGCAGGCTGATGCCTTTCGGAGAGAGCCCAAATAGCCAGGAAAAGTAGCCTCCCCTTTGGCCGGCCTGACTGCCTCCGGACCGTGATGGTCCCAGAAGCCCAGAGCCCATCTTCCCCCTTTCATGCCCCCTGCTCCCTCCCTCCCACACCACAGGCAGCCGCAGAGACACAGGAGCACACTAAGAAGTCCAGAAAATGTGGGTTTTTTTATTGATTGTTACAGACACATCCGCCTTCGGAGGGTTTAGTGGTACTTGTAGGCCAGAGCATGGGCCACCACACCGACCAGCTTCTGCCAAGTGGCCTGGCAGGCAGGGGTGAAGTCCTTGGTGAAGTGTGCGGCCAGCACAATGATGAGGATGTCTCCCAGGAGCTGGAGAGGAGAAGGAAGCAAATTGGGTGAGCGTGGCGCTGAGCATCCCTTTGCCCTGGGCAGGACCTGGGGACCAGGGGCTGTGGGGAACTCAGCTCTCTGGTGGGTCCCGGACACTGCGACCCAGGGAAGCTCTGAATTCTGTGTGGGAAAATAGCCCTGTGCTGAACATATGCACCACTGTCCACCTGCTCTGACTCCGCTTCTTCTCACACTGGCTTTTTCCAGCCTCTGGGCTTTATTTCCAGACATGTTCTGTCTTTTGTCTTTTTTTTCCCCTCTTTTTCTGCTGTGAAACCCCATGCCTACTTGAGCAGAGGGTCACCGTGAGGTCTACCTGCTACATCCCCAAAGTCAGGCTTAAACAGAGACTGAAACAGGTCATCAGCTACATCCAACCCTCTCAATCCCTTCCACCCTAAACAGCTCCCTCTCTTCACCCACAGTGATGTCTCACCCCCCTGCACCCTCATGTCTTTTGCTTCATTCCGCTCCTTCTCCCCTCCCTTATCTGCTGACCTTGTCCCCATGGTCAGACCTGTCCTCTCTGTCTCTCATCCCAGTCTGCGTCTCTTCCCACCAATGGCCAGCCCCTGACCATCCCACATTTGCTTTTCCCTCTCCTCCCAAGTCTGACAGCCTTGCAAAAAGCGGACACGACGTGGTCCCCATCCCTGGGGCCAAGAGGTGCCAGGGGGAGGCTTCTGGTGGCACCGACACATCAGGACTTCCCTCCATGCTCTCCACACTCAGCCACACGCGGCCTCCTGGCATCCTTCTCCAGTTTTTCTCAAGCCGTGCCTGCACGAGCCTCCAGGCTTTCAGATCATCTCCCTGTATTTGTCCCCAAACCCCTCACAGCCTGGACCCCAGCATTTCTCTGCCATTATCAAATGCCCAACCTTCCCCTCTCCCCCAGTTCCCACCCAACCCAGACCCTCTCTGTTTCATAGCTAAAATAGATGTTATTTTTGCTTGTTTGAAACCCTCCAGGCACTGAGTTACTCTGCAGGAGGGAGGGAGAGGGGGTCAAGTCCTGAGCACAGCTCACCCTGAAGTTCTCGGGGTCCACGTGCAGCTTCTCACAGTGCAGATCGGACAGCTTGGAGTAGGTCGCCTTGACGTTGTCCAGGTTCTTGACAGCTTCCCCGAAGGAGGTGAGCACTTTCTTGCCATGGGCACGGACCTTGGGGTTGCCGATGATGGCGGTGGGGCTGGAGAGGTTCCCAAAGTTATCAAAGAACCTCTGGGTCCAGGGGTAGACGATCAGCAGCCTGGGGAGAGACAGAGGGATGCAAGCAGACACACAGACACGTTAACGCTCACAAACACAATTGCCAC